TTTGCAGATTGTAGCTATACACTGTGGCATTGAAGACCCTACAGAAGTGAAAGAAGAGGATTTTTATGCATACATTGAATCATTAAACCATAATTATGCAGATGTAGTGGGCGCCGTTTATGTAGCATTATGTGGTGTTGAAGCTACAACCAACAAGTCCAAACTCACAGTAGTATATTGGTTGCTTTGTATTTTTTGAATTTTTACAGAGTAACTTTTAAATGGAAGAATTAAATTTAATATTTGTTAACTGTTAATTTATGCTATGCGTACCTACACGTCAAACATACAGTCCACTTGCACTTAAACGCGTGGACTCTCGTATTTGTATAAAATACTATTTTATAAATTTATATCCTTTACTATTTTTCATAGAATTATTATTTTACAAACAAATAGCGTTTTTATATTAAATTTTGTTTATTTTTATAATTTTGTATATAAAGAGTGCATTGTGACATTCAATATAGAACGTTTATTTTGTTAACTATAATCTATATAAATAATCAATGTAATTTAATAGGAAAGTATTTAGTATAGATACAATATTGTACATTATGGTTTATCTTATAGGTTTGTTGAAGATAAAATGCAATAACTAAATTCAATAAATATCTATTTTTGTCTTATCTTATCTTGGATAGTTGAATATGGATTATTTCACTAACAAACTGACCAGTACTATAATTACATTTTTTAAAACAACATAATATAGTCACAGCGAATTACCAACAACGATAAATGTAATTAATATTATCGAGGCATTAGCAGTGGCGTATTTAGGATATTGCTGCCCCGGGGGACATATATTTTTAATGGCAATTTTTCTCACCCATAAATAAACTTACAACACATGTATAATATGGTAGGTAATAGTAGGTATCATGTAGTATAAAAATTTATCTAGTGCCCCAGAATGTTGAATATCGTAGGTACTCTCACTTCTCAGTAGCAACGAATAACGATATATAATGCTCACCTGAGCAAATTGTAAAATGTATTAATTTTATATCTATTTCTAAAATCGTGAACATATTAAAAATTTATATTTCTTGAAAATACATCGATAATGGCCCATGATAATATGGCCTTATGGCTCGCATTGCATTAAAAACAGTTAAAATCAGTATAAATATTTATAGGACACCACCAAATAATTATAATTTAAAAGAATAACGTGGGCCTACAGTTATTTTTTTTTTAGTTTTTCCGGAATGTTTTGTTTTCCTCGTCACATTTGAAAAATACTGGGATATTCGTTAAATTACCAACTAGATTCGCTTTACCGCTAGAAAAGATACTGAAGTTCAAAAATTGAAGCATTATTTCAACTATTTATCGTGTAGAAACATAATAGTGAAAATTAGTATTTGTATTTATATTAGTACAAATAAAATTCATTTTGTTATGGTTTATGAAAACAATTTGGAAAATTTGGTATAAGTTTAATTTACATTTTGGTCAACTATTATTGTTAAGACTGAATATTTTAAAGTTTTTTTTTGAACCATAATTGGCTTTGTTTAAATTACAAACTCAAATATTGTGTGTTATTATTGTATGATGGGGTTCCAGCTTGTTTTTTTAAATAATGAATGATTTATACGAGGGTTAAACATTGGGGGTAATCAGTGTACAAGGTGATGGTAATCATGGGTAATCATAGGTAATCATAGGGTAATCTTTGTAGTAAATCATGGGTAATCATAGGTATAATCATTGAAATCAGTGTACAAAACTTCTGTCAGGTATTTACCCCTCGGATTTATATTAAAAGTAAATATCACCTTTTATTTATAAAATATATAATAGTAAAAATAAAGAAAATAAACAGGAGAAATCGGTCGTTCTGCTACAGTAGTAGGCGTCGAGTATACCTCGTGTCATTGGGTAGGTCACTGTATTATAATATTATATACTGGTTACGGGTGACTCCTCTTTCCTGGCAGACATGCTGTCCACACGTGTTAAAAAACCATACAGTTCTAAACCCTACCACAAATCCAATTAAACACACACTTAACTAACAGCTAATGACCATAGTTGCCGGGCTTAATAGACAAAATAAATATATATAATATATTCTTGTAGTGGTGGTGTATATGATATATTTATGAAAAATTGTATTTAGAAATATTTGAATAGTTGACACATATTACAAATATATCAATTTTGGGGTTTCAAAAATATCAATATAACGTAAAAATGAATTAAATAATGAAGCCCCCCAAGCTAGAGGGTATCCACACTGGTGGGCCTCCCTCCTCAAGCCATTCATGTTGTTGTATTCTTTCATTACCAAATTTACTCATTGTATATATAAAATTACAGATTGTAAATATTCTATTTTATCTAATAAAAAAAAAAAAAAAAAAAAAAAAAAAAAAAAAAAATAATGAAGTAGGTAAATAGCCAATAGTTTTTTAATAATATTTTATGTACATTTCTTGAACTATTAAAATTACCATTAACTGTTTAATAATTATTGTAATTTTATATTTTAATAAAGCAAAATAGTAAATTGATTTAAGACTAAGAGAAAGATTATACATGTGTTTAGTTGTATCATTATTTAAGTTCGCTACAGTTTTCACTTTACATTAGTTTTTAGAAATAAGTACAAATATTTCTTGATTTTTAGTTTAAATTTTTTCAGGCATGGCAAGATACAAAACTGCTAAAAATAAAGCATCAGCCATAAAACGGCACAGAAATGGTACAGGGGGTGGACCACCGTGCAATATAACCATGTCTGAGGCACAGACAGATGCAATGTCATTAATAAGTAATATTGCAATAAGTGGCCATACAGATTCAAAAGAATCAATTTGTGAATTGGACTTTGATACTTCTGTGATACAAGGTACAATATTTACACAATTCCCAATAACTTATACGGTGTATTTGAAATGATTTCATATTTCATTACATGTTTGCAAAGATTTTTGCAGTACCCACAGTGGTCGAAGAGGGGAGGGATGGTGTCCCTCTAATTTTTTTTAATTTACATTATTCATCCCTCAACTTATTTTCTCCATAATGATGCATCCCCTCAAAAGACTTATGTTTTAAAATTACCTATCTATGTGCATATAATTAGCCAATTATAAGTTATGATTTTATAATTTTAAATCTAAACAATTATTGTACTGGATTTAAAGTAATTATAGTTATATTTATCTAGGTGACATTTTTATCTTTTTACAGTGAAAATATTTTTTTTCTGTTTCTGGCATTTAAAATCAAAACTTTACCCAAAAGTAGCCTCATTGTAATTGTAGCTTTTATCTCATTTTATTATGTATTCTATGCAGAATAGATAAAATTATAAACATAAGTCTCCATTCTTATGTTAAAAAAAAAAATTTATTAAAACTGTGTAAACATCTTAAAATAAATGATTCTTATTAATATGCAAAAATCAGAATTCAGAAATGTTCAATAAGAGGAAGATAAATTTCTGTTTCATACTTTTTTTAACTTATTATTTAATGTTTATAGGCCCTTGTAAACTGGATTTGGAAAATATGATAGTATGTAACAATTCTGAGGGTAAGTATTAACTATTAATTTATAGTATGTATTTTCTTGAACTATACCTAATATTATACTTAAATAATCTACTGTTCTAAGGCTTTGGTATTATCCAAGAAATTGATACATATGAACTTCCTGATTATCTGCCAGTAGAAAACAACAGTATTCAAATGCCAAGTAATAGTTTTCAAATTTTGTCTTAGAATTCAATCATAGTAGGTATTTATCGTTTAAAACTTTTAGCTACTAGTATTATCAATGTAAACGTTCCGATAGAAATAATTGAACAACCAATCACTTCCAATTTATCTTTCCAATCCATAAAAAGAAAAAATATTGAAAAAACGAGTAAGAAATATTAGAAAAATAATTTTATTTATATGTCAAAAGTATATTAATTTAATTTTCATTTATCTAATTTCTAATAATATTTCTAATTCCGAACCAGTTAAAAAACCATCGATTGCTGCAGGGTTACATGACAGTAATTTAGCAGCCAAAAAACTTGGAGACATTGCAACCCAAAAACTTGAACTTAAAACTGCTTATTATGCAAAAAAAATTCAAGTAATGGAAGAGCAGGTATCTGTGCTAAAAAATATAGGTACAATGTTGTCTTCTTTTATAAATAAATAAGTTGACCTAAATAAATTGACTGAAAGGTACTCATATTTATCACATTATATACTTGTCTTTGTTGAATATTAAAAGTGATATAATTAATTTTTTTTAGTAACTGTTTCATAAGACTGAAATTTACCAATATTTATTATATTATATACTTGTTTTTGTTGAAAATTTTAAGTGATGAAATTAATTTTTTAATAATTAAATTGTTTCATAAGACTGAAATTATCTTATAAAAATGTTTTAGTTAAAAATGTTTATTGTTCTATGGATTTATAAATAAATATACATTTATTTCATTCAAATTATATTTTGTAACACTTGAACATTTCTGTTTCTCTGCTGTCGCCTTAACATTAAATATTTATTTTGTTGATTATTGTGAATTACATCATTATTTTCAACTTCTTGATATATTCCCATGTCATTTTCCTCTAGTTCTTCATATATATATTCAGATACATTGTATGTAATACATAAATTATGTAAAACAACACAAGCATTTTGATTCCTGATGATTTCTAAGGATTATAATGTAAAGTTCTATCTTTGACCAAACACCTAAGAAGAAAATATGAAGCATAATGTTACACAAGAACCAAATACATATTCAAAATTATAGGTAGGAATATAAGCACCTAAACCGGGCTTTTAGAACACCATTACATCGTTCTATTAAGCTTCTTGTACACACTTGTTTAGTATTATAATGTATTTCAGCTGCACTACTTGGATTTAATATTGGCGTTAAAAGCCACTGGCGTATTGGATACCCAGAATCTCCTAGAAATTAATGTTTTAATTAACACTCATTCACCAACGACAAATATTTTAAATAAAGTAAATAATATTTAATATTGTTTACCCAGGAAATAGTAATAATTCAAATTACGCTCGTGTAATTCTTGAACAACTAGTAAAACGTTGCTATTATTCCATATATGATTGTCATGTGTGCTCCCCGGAAACAATGCATTGACATTCAAAATTTTCAGTTTAGAATCACAAATCTTAAATCGTGTGAATATGAACAATTAGAAGATTTCTATTTTGTGTACATAATATTAGATTGTATTATTAGATATTTAATATTTACTAATTGCACATTAATGGAGTGGTAGTTTTTACGATTTATGTATAAATATTCTGGATGCTGATTTTCAACTAAATTTAAATTTGTTGTGGGTGGAACAATTGCCACATGGGTACAATCTATACAACCAATTACTCCTGGAAATCCACCGAGGTTAGGTTAGGCGAGCGGAACGATGCGACGAGCTTACAATTTCTAACTTACAAACCAAAACTTAAAAACTGCTAATGGCCATAGTTTAAGGTCTTCCTGATCAATTATATATAAAAAAAAAAGGTACGAAAAACCACTGTATTAAAAATAAATTAATATTGATAATTCTAGATTGATATTGAAGATATTTTAAAGAATTCTGGTAAATGTGTAATATTAACATATTATAAAAATTGCAACAAATTAACAGATGGTTTTAAGAAAATATTGTCAGATATAGTCATAGAGTATTTAATACAACATAAAATAAATACAGTATTATAGTAAATTTATTTAAATCTAAAATTAAGGTTTGTGAATAATATTTGAATGTTCAAATTATTGTTAGGTTTAGTATTTCCACAATTTTCATACATTTTGTGTTACAGGAAACATATTATTTGAACATCAATAAGTAAATTACGAAAGCACGACTTTTGGCCCAAGACAATTTTGAATTCAGAAGTTGAGTCTTCTAGCACTTCTAATAATTTTAAACATATGTCATTGCC